ATTGAGTTTAGGAAGCGTGATCATAAATTTCACACAGAGGTGGCTTCAGTAGCAAATTCTTCAAGGCTGTGCTTTGCAGTGACCTTACATGGCTGGATTTTCTTGTGGAAGGCATTTTCTCTTATTTTCACTTTACCTTCATTTATCGAATAAGATAATTTCTTCATCTTTACTACCAAAAAGTGAATGAAAACATAGGCTTTTCTTTCACATTTTTCTTTGTGACTCATCCTTGATAAAAGCTCCTGCTCAGATGCTAGAAGACAGATCCAGCATTCTGCCCTAGCCACCCTCCATTCTCATGCTCTAATTGCATCTAATATTTTAAAAGCCATCACAAAAATTGGTGGGCCCATTTGCCTTATTGTAAGAGTCCCTTGAGTGCAGCTTTCAAGATACTCTCAGGATCCATTAGGGGCATACATTACGCAGAACTGCATTACCATTGTGGGAATGGTGGGAACAGCATATGTAATCAGCACACCTACCTGATTAACCTTTTTGATGAAAAATGTATGTCATCAAACTTTCTCTGTACTGTTTAATTTGTTAGATCATTCTGGGCATGATGACTTTGTGCAACATTGAATGACCTTATTAGAGAAACCCTTGCAGCAACTAATGAGATGCCTTCTTCTACCTGAATGATAACCCCAAGTATTTTATTTATTTGTTTTGAAACAGGTTTTGCCTGGCATTCTGCAGAAGCATTGCTGTATCTTACCAGACAGGAATACAGGTAAATGCATTTTATTCTTCTGAAGTTTTGTATCAGTGGAAAAATTGAGAAATATTGCTTAATTTAGATCTCATTTTCTTTGCTGTTGCTTTATTGCAGGATTACATATTGACTGAAACAAGCAAAAAAAAAAAAAGGATTATTAACTACAATGAATTATAACCTGAGCTCAGAGATCTGTTTTTATTTGGAAAAGAGATAGATTTAGATGACAGTTGTTTTGGATTTTTAAGGGAAACTGGTTGTCTTAGAAAGTTAAATATTTTAGTTTCAAAGTTGTTTTCTTTTGTTGGTTGTGCTTGTTTATTAAGGAAAAACATGAGTATTGGCTAGCATGGGATGTACCTGGAGTCCGTAGTCCAGGCTTCACTTGTAGTCAGAGTAAGAGCAGAGCTGGCCAGTTGTTACATCCTTACAACCTTCAGCATCTTAATGAACAAAACAGTAAAATGGGTGTCTTAGAGCTGGACATGGTTAAGACCATGTAGTTTCTCATAGGTGTATGTGGCTGGAAGATGTAATTAAGGTGGTTTGTGTTACTTTGAAGGAAACGTGATGGAGGAAAAAAAATGTCTGAAAAGAACTTTGGAACTTCGTTGTGTTAAAGTTAAAAAACAAACAGACAAAATGAAGCAAAATGGAGTGTGTTATCCTCTGGATCCGTGTCTTAGTTTTTCCCATGCAAGGTTTTTAATTTAAGGCACTTTCATCAAGACCTAGCCAGTCCTGAGGAAGATATACAAACTGCTGCATCTTGTCTGCACAGGCTTAAGATTTATTTATTCCCACTGTCACCTGTGTCCCATCAGACATGTCTGTTTGCATCCCAACAGGCTTAAGATTTATTTATTCCCACTGTCACCTGTGTCCCATCAGACATGTCTGTTTGCATCCCAGGATATTTCTGCTGGGTTTGGAAGAGAGGCTTGCTGACATTTCCTGTGTATTTCTAGCCATAAAAAAAATGAATCATAATGGACTCTGTGATAATTAGAATTTATCTGTTGGGATTTACTCTACTTGTATTATAGATAGCATGTTAACCAGTTAGTATGGTTATTGGGGTGCCATTCTTAAGTGGTCAGTAAGGTAGGTTTGTATCATGAATTCTAATGAAAAACACAGTATTTTGGGAAAATAGGATCTTAATTTTTTTTACTCATGAACAAGGGCAGATTATATCACTGGCCCTGTTGTTTTTCAGAGAAGTCCATACATCTGTCTGTTTGGTTTGTCATCGCCTATTCAGGTCTATAGCTGTGGCTTTGAGCATATTTACTCTGGTTATAGGGAAGTTTGCTTAGAACATGGTTAAATGTTCTTTGAGCCTCTCTGTATTCTGAAAGTCTTAGTAAGAAAACTATATGAACATGTTATGTGTAAAGGAACAAAGATTTTTACAAACTACCCATCAACAACAGTAAGTATAACACAATTTAAAGAAGGAATGAATTTTCCAGATCAATTTATCTTTCAGGCGAGTCATTACTCTGATTCTGGGAAGCATAAAAAATTGTAAAATTAATTAAAATTAAATGCTACTATGGGAATCTAAGTGGGTTTCAAATATTGAAATGAGTTTTCTATAGTTTTAGACAGTTATATAAAAAGTTACAAGTTAATATGGGAAATACTGCCAAACAGATTTCTTTTTTGTTTTTCATCAGAATTGAAGTAATCAGCCACTAGAACCAAGAAAGTTGCCTACCATTAAGACTTGAATCTTGAGGATATTTGCTAGGCAATTTCCTTAAAATACTTTCATATTATAGTGTCTCACTTGGAAGTCAGTTCTAGAAGACCTGAGGCAATGATACTAGGTGTGGAAAAGTGAAGGAATTGTATCAGATGTGAAGAAAGAAGAGTTAGCTGAAATTGTAACACTTAAAAGTATAGGTTCAGAATTGAAAAAGTAGGGAATTCTAGTTTTTACCATGTAATTTGATCTACTATATCCAAAACTGCTTTATTATTTAGGAAGTGTTTAGAAATTCTCAAACTCAGAGTGGTTATAGCTTTTGCATTTTAATGGCATATAGGGTGCTTATGAACTTGAATGTAGTTTGTTTTTACCTTTGTGGTTTTATAGAAGACTTTTCAAATTTTTGATTAAGATCAACTTTGGAATGGGTAGAGAGTTTTAATTTTGGCAAATGAAAAATATTCTGTCGATGGATGATGATGATGGTTGCATAACAGTGTGAATGTACTTAATACCACTGAACTGCACACTTAAAAATGATTAAGATGGTAAATTTATGTTATGCTTATTTTACCATAATTTAAAAAAAGATAAACTTTGGGGTAAATCACAGCTTTCATTTTGTTTGCTTTTTATTTATTTTAGAAATGCTGTGTACACTATTAACTTTATATGTGGTAGCTGAATACCTGGAGAAAGATAAACCTGTGTTCAGGTTCTTTTCATTCTTATACAACTAGTAAACTTAACAGGACTGTCTGTGACATGTGTGGGTGACAGCAGATGATGCATTTGAAGTTGCCCTTCTTTGAATCCCACACGGCTGCTTTTGAAAGCAAACATTTTTTCTTGCTCTCTTGATTACTTGTGATAATTTTGGCTAATAATAGGAAGAACTAGAGTGAATCCCATCGACTGCCTCTGTATACTACTTTTTTTCATGTTCTTGGCAAACAAGAGTTGGGGGAAACTGTTTATGGCCTGAGGGAGAAATGCAAGTACAGCTGTAAATGCGTGCGGAGGCTTTGGGCTTCTGGAAAACATTTCCACACTCTTGGCTTCCGAGCACTCACCTTTCTCACTTTGGTGACGGGCTGACGCCTTGCATGCCTTTGGTTCTCGCCTCCAGGGAGCCCTGCCCTGGAGCCGTGCGTGGGCCACTGCCCACCCGGAGATGGCCTGGGAGTGATGGCCAGCGGAGGTGGGCGTGTGGGCTTCGCTGGTCTTGGTTCATGTCCCGTGCCAGCCTTCATTGGATGGGCTTCCTTGAGGCTGCCCACTCAACAGATGGCCGGCCCTGAGACTGGATCCTGGCTTCTGGCTGGTCAGGTGAGACTCAGGGGCTGTGCCGTTAAATTAGTCCGGAAGGGGCTTACTTCTGCATGGTTAGGAGGCTTTTCTGAGCCTTGACCTCTTCACAGACATCATTTTATTATGATTGGCTGTTTTCCACATCGAAGTTAACCTATCTTTAAGTTTTTCTTGGCAGTTTTACCCCCCGCTAAGCAAGAGATTTCTTGTAGCTGCTTTAATGCATTGTACTGTCCAGTTGGTGGGAGCAGAAGTTTGATTGCTTGGTATAAAATGTAGCCCAGAGCATAAGTAAGTAATCTTCTGCTGGTCCATGTTGCAGATGATTGTATATGATTTACATAAAACCAATATTAGGCAGCACTCAGCAGGAACCTTCCATAAAGGAAATGTAGGATATGAATATATAGTTTGCTAACAATGAGCAATGAGCAGTGAAGATGTGTCCGGCTCCTCTGTCTTGATTGTCAGCAGCATTGCTTCAGAGCTGCTGTGTCATTTGGGGAGACCCAGCTTGGGCAGCAGTGGGCACGATCAGTTCTCTTTTATGTAGGCCACATGCAGGCTGGGGTTCTGACCTGAGCTTAGGTGATGGCTGTGACAGGTGGCTGTCCCCTGTTGGAAGACAGCCTGTTTGCCTGCTGAGAATAATCAGGAGTTTCAAGGATGAATTGGTTTGCGGTCGGCAGAGGTGCTCACCTGGGCAGGCTTTGATAGCCACAACTAAATGATGGAACCTCAAACAGATGAAGCATGTGTGGCATTTCATTTTTGAGCCGCATTACATCTATACTTGCCAGCGAATGCACAATGATTGTGAAATAATTTGTATATAACAATTGGTGTGAAAAAACTCTAAGTATTTCCTGCATTTTGTGGGGCTAATTTTGTGTATTTGCAAATACATGGTGTGTTATTTACTGAGGTCTAGTGTCTTGGACTGTAGTGGTTCCTCAGTGATTCACTGGTCAGGATTTGACATTTCCTGTGCTGGTGAGAGGGAGGTGGGAGCCAGATGTGGCATTTGCCGATGTGCATGGTAGAGACGCCCCATCGTGGATCACCCAGTGTAGATGTGGGAGGGCTCTCCCACCGTCCCATCTCATAAGCGAGAGCTGCCCTGCACCACCAGGCCCAAGGCCCACGGTCACCTTTTGCATGTCCCTCCTGAGGCATTTGATTAGGGGCTGTGGTCAAGGTGTTCTGTGGTGGTGGGCCATTCAGTTGTTCATTAGCTAAATAAAACCTTGGGTTAAAATTTCATGCTTGTTACAGGGTCTTCAAATTCAAAAGGAGCAAACACTTTTGTTATTTATGTTTGCATGTTGAGTGTGTATGCACCATTACGTCAGTTCTCACAAGCCCTGAGGATGGTCAGCTGTTTTGGGCGCAGTTGAACTATATGACTGGCACCCTGCCGTTTGCATATTGACTTCAAGCAGGCCAAGGGGGCATGCCCGCTGAAGTAGTAGCAAAGGTTGCTTTCAGTTGTTCTGAATCCCCTGAGTTTCCTTTAAGCTGAAAGTTTGAAAAAACTTTTAATTTCATGATGGACAAATAAGGGAAAATCAATGAGTAATAAATTTGCCATATACCTTTCTAAAGGAGACGTGTTTTCCAGTAACTGCCTGCAGAAAAGGCTTGGCAGGGAGTATATGTGTGGAAGCCAAACACTATTTCATTGGTTTTGCACCTAACTTCTGTGGGGTTCCTGAAGAAACGTTGCCTGGTGTTTAGGTTCATGTTTAGGTTCATGGCAGCGTCAGTGATGTCTAAGTGTGGATGTCATGCGCTATGTTGCCACAGTGTTCCTCGTATGTGAGCATGTTAGTTTTGGCTGGTCCTGCAGCATTCCTGTGAGACAGGACACATGGCTCTGTTTTGCAGATGGGGACGTTCACATGACTTTGCACTGTCACACAGCGGCTACATATTTTGCTGTGACAAATACAGGTTTTGGGTCTAAGTCAGTCCATGATCCCATAAT